GTATGTCCTTCCTCAGTTCCTGCCCTTCTCTTGTGTTTCTCTCTATAGGTGTATGTGAAAATGAACAAAAACAGGTAATACAGTTTAAGGGTAAAAAAGTCTTTTTGTCTCGATAACACTAATTCATCGCAGATCAGCTACACTAGGTAAAGTGCTAATGTCGACATCATACATGGATATGCTGTCTGAAATGATGCCCACAAAGTGGTATATCGGATATGACATGTCCGTACAAGTCCATACAACTTATCTCTCTCTCTCTCTATATATATATAGTATAAAAGTATCTTCTGTCTTTTTTAATAATAAAACTAACATAAAAATAAAACATGCATGTTCCGAATTGCAGAACGCTTGTCCAACAGTGCACACACATGCATCAAATATTTAGATGTCCAATTGGATATATTTCCAGTTAATTGCACGTGTATCTAGTATTTGGACAGTGTCATTGTGTTAACGTCAAGAAACACGTCTTCATACAATCCGTGCAATACACACTGTAGACACACTTGAGCTGCATCTAGTGGCATGTCTAGCTTGTTGAGACATGTGCATCTGACACACATCACTGTAACATAGCTTTCCAAAGATGGGTAACATATCAATGGACTTGCTGTCACAATTCACAAAACATATGGTTGCTAAAAGGGAAAGATGCATGAATTGTTAGACATTCATTATTCACTTTTCCATATTTCTCACATTTGTTAGCCTATAACATTGTTAATAATTGTATAAGAAATTCCTAGCATTGTGAATGGATCAATGGAAAGCATTATACTCTAGTGCCATTCCAGCTTGATTTTAGAGTGTTTTGCATGGCAAATATTTTGTTTACTACAAATAATCCTCTGTTAAGTATTTTTTTTTCTTTGTAAATATAAACTGAAATTGCTGGACCAATATTATCTTGTGAATTTCTCACATGGTTATTTGATCTTTAAATTTGATTTAAGCTATTTGTATTTTCTCTTCTTCTTTTTCTATAATTGCCGTAGTTTGATTAGCCAACCCCAAATAATTGGGATAAGGCTTGGATGATGTTGATGATGAATTGCTGTAGTTTTATTCAAGTTATGTCTCCTACATGCAAAATGGAATTAGCTTGCTTATGCAACTTATTTTTTTCTTCTCTACAAAATGTTTGAAGTTAATTTTCTCTTTGCTTGGATTTTCATCTTTAAACAGGAGTGGCGACTGCTTTTGCTGCTCGAGACATTCTTGGGAATGTTCTCAGTGGTTTGTCTTTGCAATTTTCGAAGCCCTTTACGATTGGTGACACTATAAAAGTAACATTTTTGGACACTATCTTTGTTCCTATGAATTATGGTCATATTTTTATTGATTAGGTATGCCTCAGTTGGATTAGTGTCACTCCCCAAGAATTTACAATATTGATATTCCTGAGATGTGACAGTCAAAATATATATACATCTCTTTTTAGAACAAATTTACAATGGCGAATTTTTACAAAGTAACAAAAGAAAGTTTAAG